GCGCCGTGCCTTGCAGAGGCCGTGCGCGGCCAACACCGCCGCTGCGCGTGCGGATGCGCGCCATCAGACGGAGCGGCGCGCCACGCAATGAACCCTGTGTTGCTTCCCACAGCTCCAAGCCTCGAACAAGCCACGGGCAACAATCAAGCCGTCTGCGAGGCGCCCACCACAGGGCGGCCTGCTGCTTGCAGGTTGCTGGCTTGAGCTCGTGACAGAGCATCATTGCGCCTGAGGCCTCCTCGTGAATGTGCATTGTCTGGCAGACAAGCGCCCACACACCCTGCGGCTACTGTACAGCAGCATGTGGTGGTTGATGGCCAAATACTGGAGGCCCTTGAACGGGTCAAAGCGGCTGCCTGCATGCTCTACTGGCAGATTGTGGATGCCTGATAATCAGGCGCATGATGCACGCAGCATACCGACCGGGCTTTATTACAATCCTGCAACATCAGCATAGGACCTGGCTTTCTGGCAGTGTTAATGGTATGGAAATCCTGAAAAGAGCAGCCATCGGTGCAGTCAAGTCACGTCAGCACGATGCTCAGGCCCCTGTTGGCCGCGCACAGCTCGCCACACCACACCGTGCTGAAAGGCTGGACCAGGCGCTCCCGCCGGTGGCGCGTGCAGCAGAGGGTGATCGTGTTGAGCGGCACAAGGCTCTGCAGCTGCGCAAGGGGCATGACGAGGGCGCGCACGACCTCTTCGAGTGAGGGCACCCGATCCTGGGCGCTCCCAGCACCCCCCTGGAAAAACGGCCAAGGGAGGTGAACTGTGAGCGTGCGCAGCTTGCAGAGAGTTGGGAGGGAGCACAGGGCCCGACTCGCATCGGTTGTATTTTTTGGAAAAGCACAGTTGAGCAGGGTCAGGTCTAGGAGCGTGTCCCCCACCGCCGCGCCGATGCAAGCCATGAGCTGTTGGGCGGGCAGACTGAACCGCGGCGTGCTGATGGAGAGGGACGTCAGCATAGAGCAGCACGACAGCCGGCACATCGCCCTCAAAATACGGTGCGGCTCGTTGCGCCGCACAACATTGGCACCGGCGCCACCCCCAGCGGCGCCGCTGCCGCCCAGCACGCAAGTGAGCCGCAAAAGCTGAGGGAAGTCGAGCGCCGAGCGCAAGAAGTCCCCCGCGGCATCATCGTCTGAGTCGGTATTGCTGTCACCACCATCGTCGACGCACGTAAAGCTCCGGACGGACGGGTGGCCCGTGAAAACTGGCACGCGGTGCAGATCATTCTCCGCGTCGCACTGCAGCTCCACGAGGCGGGGGGCCACCCAGCGCAGGTGCAGCCAATCCGGTATGTCCATGATGCAGCAGGACGCCAGCCTGAGCCTCGTCAGGCCCGAGAACACCGCGTCGGTGGGGCCCTTGAGCACGCAGTGGTCGAGGTCCAGAACGAGCAGCTGAGGGCACGCATCGGCGATGGTCCTTCAGGTCGCCGCCAGGCAAGAAAACCGAATTTGGGTACCGTTCATCGCCGCCGCTGCTCTTAGATAGAGAGGGAGCACGAGCGTGGGTGGTGGAGTGAGCAGTGGCGTGATTGGAAGGGGGGCTGTGCTGGGCAATTAGGTCATCCAGGGCGTACTGCAGTGTCCTCCTGTGACGTGGTCGTTCGAACGCACATATGCACGCACACAAATCCGCTTGCAATGCACATAGGCATGAGCACGTGCGCACGCGCACACACACACACATACTCGCACACATACACACAAAAAACACCCATGCATGCATGCATGCATGCATGCGCACACACGTACACATGCACGTGCGCACACTCACTCGATGCCAATGTGGAGGCGCGTCAGGGATGCGAGCGGTGCTGCGGAGCCGACCAGGTCCGCGACTGCTGCGCTGCCGGGCATTCCAGTGACGGAGATGCTCAGCTCCCTGAGCCGCGTCAGAACGGGGGCGAGCTGAACCTGGCTAGCGAGGCCGTGCGTCAAAGGCCGGAGCGTCATCTGAAGATGGGTCAGCCGCGGCAAGCCAGGCAGGACGCCTGGCAGCAGCGCGGCGATGGAGCCTGTAGGGTCTGGGAAGCCCCCCTGCAAAGTGAGGTCAAGGCGCTGGAGCCCACTGAGCTGTCGCAGCGCGGCGACGGCTCCTGCTGTCGCATCATAGGCGAAGCCAGTGAGGTCGATCATGATCCGAAGTGAATTGAGGGTGCTGCAAACAGCCTCCAGGCTCAGCAG